TTGCATAGCTCATAAGAATTGCTCTTTAAAACCACCTTAAACTGTAGTAAAATAACTTGTTGGAAGAGTGCCACACTTTTGTTCTTTCCTTTTTCCTGGAAATCTTGACTGCCAGGATGCCTGGCATGACACCAATTGAGAAGTAAAATCATATATAGTACAATAGAGGTAGAATATAGGTAGAATATAAGCAATCATAGGCTGAGTTTGCAAGTCTGATTGTTCAGTTACGTATCTATATTTACTGTAGCTTAAAAGGGGTTGTGTCCCAGCTCTGCAATAGAGTTTGGTTATCTTTTCTCGACACTGATTGTTGTGATGTAACAGATGAGCTGTTCATATTTACACTCACTGTGAGCTCTTTCACGCCAAGGGATGTTGAAGCCTGGAATTCAGGAAGGATGCACAACTAAATCATATACACCTACTCCTTGCTTTCATTGAAAAGGTTAGATTGCAGTAAAGTTAATGCATTTTTCCTTCCTGGAGTTTTCCTACTCAACCTTCCTCTAGTTGTTTCCAATTACAATGTTTGTTGGCCTTAGCCAGGGGTTGGGCCTCTCATCAGGGATTGTGGGAGTTGTCACCCAAAACATCTGCAGAATCCAAATAGGTGAAGGGTGGTTTAACTGCTCAGGAAGTGCATCAGTCATCTCAAAAGATCACCAGACATGGGTGTGCTGAGACAGTGCTGGTTCTCCTGGTTTTTCTGGTCAGTATTGGAGGCCTTACTGAAAAGTCAGATCCTGCTCATCTCATGGAATAGTAATATCATATGCCTGTATTTGTCTTTTTAAAATCATAGTAGCTGACATTCTTTAAAAATGCGGGTTGGTCTGAGAGCAAAGGGCTTTGTTTTCAAGAGCTGACCCAGTTCCTAATCAAATGATCGTTTGTTTGTGGCTTCAGTGTTGCCAAATGCTGCACCCCCTGGACCTTCCTTGCACAGTGACTTAATTCTGAAGCAGATGGAGGGAAACAGACTCTTGAAGGTTGATTGCAACTGCCTGATATGCTCTCTAACAAGGGCAAGCCCAAGATATTTTACTGTATGAGGCTGTCTAGTCTAGCAGTTGAGTCTTATTTCAACAGTGGTAACTGAGCAGCTTTCTAAACCATATCTGAAGGTGGTATGCTAGTTTACAGGCAGGTTGTGTGACATACACAGCTTGGTCTTCCAGCACTGCTTCCAATGCTTGCCACTGATCTACAAGCCCTCCTGGCCTGCTTTGCACTTCTCTGCATGCTCTTCTTACTTCTAGCTGGTATCTGCTGCCTGGCTCATTCAGCATAATAGTAGGACTGGCCTGCTCTTAAACACCTCTGTTGGGTGTTGAAAGACTTCTGTTTGCAATACTATGTGTTTTTCCTAATTACCATGTTTTGCATTTTGAAGGCTTTGTTTTGTGTTTGGTCAGTGAAAGGCAATCATAGGCTGAGTTTGCAAGTCTGATTGTTCAGATACATATCTATAAGGAAATCTTTTTGATGGAGAGAAAGTGTGCCAATTCCAGGGAACAGACGCTGTATTTAATAGATAGTTTGATCCTGAGTTATGGACCATTTCTGGTGGTCCCAAGGCAATATTGGAGTGACTATGGGCCTGTAATATTGGTCTGTTTTGGGTGTGGGTGGATCAGGCTACAAAGGATCTGTTGAGGTGGGGGAATGACGTACCAATTGGTGAGTTCCCCAGGTCCCAACAGAAAATGACCCTTGTAGCTTGACCAGCTATCAATTAAGCTCTTTCCCTCATCAACTGGGATGGTCAGGGAAAGTGAAAGTACTTTTTATGTTGCTCCTCTCTCCCTCTGTTCCTGTCATTCCTTTTTCTCCCTCCCTCCCCTCCTCTCTGATTCCCTTCTCTTTTTTTTTCACCCACTCATACTCTGAATCTGCAGCCATGGTACTAAGGCTGCCGGAGGGTGTTTTCTCATGGCTAAAAAGAGTGTGCCAAAAAGAATGCATACTGTACCAGAATGGGGCACAACAGCTGTTGAATGGGAAGGATGGCTTGATCAAAATATTAATACTGTACAACTGGACACAGGCTTTCCTCCCCCCAATCCAAACTGTGCCTTCAATGACTCATAGATCATATATATATATATATATATATACACGCGCCAGTGAGGACAGGCACTAAGTTAATCAGAGAAGTGGTCTTTCCTGGCACCAACAAGGCCCCTCGTGGCTGCAGCACCATGGATAGTTCCAAGTGGGCTCTAAGGGAAGCTGAAAGTAAATGGAGGTCTTACAAATCTTGGAGGATAATTCAGCCTTTCCAGGTTTTGCCTCTTATCCTTAAAGAATGTAGAGAGGAGCTTCTGCTTTGCTTTGTCTCTCCAGCCTTGTGTGCTCTCTGTGCTGTTGGGTGGGCGTGACAATATGAGAAGTTCATGACTTCTTGGGCTCAGCAACGTTTATGTGGTTTCCAGTTTTGGTTCAGCAATCTCTAGTTTATCAAGCTCAGGCTGAGTGTCAGCAGCTGGGTCCAGCTCTACATCTGGCACTGAGGGCCTCAGATTTGACCTCCTTCTCTCCCTCCCGCCATGAGAAGCAGGGAGCAGGAGAGTGAAGGAAGAAGGTTGTTAACCTTTACTTATAAAATAAGAAAAATGAATGTGGGTCTCCTGATGGCACTGGACTACAATTCCCATAGCCCTTCCCTTCCCTTTTGGCTGTGCTGGCTTGGACTAACGAGAGTTGCAGTTTAGCAACATCTGGAGAACCACACATTTGGCACACCTGCTCAAAAGGGATGGCAATTCCTAGTTCCAGATTTACTAAAAGCTTCTTCATCTCTAGGCATTTCTTAGATAAAGGAAGCTGGTCTTGTCAAATGTGGCATCTTTTCTTATTTCTTTATTGATTTCAAACTGGTGCAACAGGAACTCCCTTGAAGCCAATTATAGCATCATGTGTGTTTGCCTCATATTTATTTATTTATTTAACTTATATGCCATCCACACTACCCAAAAGTCTCTGGGTGGCTTACAACAATTAAAATACAGTAAAAAATACAATTAAAATATAATTAAAGTATATATATCCAGTGGTGTTTCTATAACAGAAACATTTATTCAATTTTCCTGCTCCTGTGTGCTCACTTACTGTCTGCTGAGTTTCTTGAGATAACTCATCTCCCTTTGTCTTCATCTATTGCTCATTCTAAACACTAGTGTACACATGGCAGAGACATTTCTTAGTGTGTAGTAGGACACACATATTTATTCAGTCATCACACAGGTTTTAACCACACATCTGTAAACCTTCAATGAGAAATATTTGGTGTGGAAGGATAAAAATCACAAATTACAGAGGAGCTCCGTTAAGCAGAGAAAGCTACTGTGTAGAATGAATGAACATCAACTCTGCATCTTCTATGGGCCAAAAAGGTCCAGAGGATGGCATGTGAAGTAGCAAAAGGTGGCCTTGTGCAAGCTAGATCTGTGTGGGATGTATTCAGAGAGGAAAGAAGCAACACTAGCTGGTACTTTGATTGGTATTCAGAGCCTGATAGCAGGCAATGCACAGGGGCCACTGAAACACTGGTTCATTGCAGCTCTACATTTAGTTACAGGTTTGGTTTCCTTCCATAAACACATAACAATTATTTCTATAAACAGAAGAGAGTGAATTCTTTATAGGAATGTCATCTGTGCAAAGAGACCTGTATATAATAAATCCCAAATGAAATTAATGGCATTTGTAGTAGTTAGCAGTTTATGCTTATGACATTATACAGTTTTTAAAAAACTTATACATTTTTTAAGCTGAGCAGTGAATTTTTTGGTTGTTGTGGGTTTTTCGGGCTCTTTGGCTGTGTTCTGAAGGTTGTTCTTCCTAACGTTTCACCAGTCTCTGTGGCCGGCATTGTCAGAGGATTTCTGAAAATCCCACAACAACCATTAGATCCCGGCTGTGAAAGCCTTCACAAATACAGTGAATTTATTAATAGTCAAATCAATAATTAAAAAAATTAATTCTCCAACCAGCAACTATAAGATGCAGAGTAAAAATCTGTCCTTAAACAGTTTTCTGCACTACTGCAATAATTCAACCCTTTAACACTCTCACTCTTCTAGTACTAGAAAGGCCATTCTCCTATAAGATGATCTGATGCCACGGGGGAAAACAGAAGAGTAATCTCTTGTGTTTACAAACTTGTCTGTACAAATTAAACTGTATGAACTATCGTACAGATTTAAAATACATTTTTATGTTACATACAAGATCATCCACATTCACAAATTTAGAATAGTTCACATTAGAGGTAAAAAATAGCACTTTTAATATATTTTGGAAAAGGTGTTTTATAGGTTAAAGGAAAAGAATGTGGAGGCATGTTAAACTTGGCCAACAGAGGGAGCCATTCACATTGTTTTTGAATAATTGTTGGAAATTTGGAAAAATGAACTTCACTTATAGAAACAATGTATTATGATTCTAACTAAAGTGTCTAATTCTCTGTTGAATGTTGCTGTAATCTACTCAGGGACACAATAGAGGTGGGAGCAGTGTTATTATTTTTCAATATAGCGGACCCTCCCAATTTATTTGCTTTTCTCTATGTGTTTGTTGAAATCTAGTTTAGTTGAATGTTTAGAATTTGTGCAAGATTGTGTGCTACCTTCATTTTCTCAGAGTTCTGAGGTGGGTGTGTTTGTGTGTGTTTCATCACAGGAACAGCCAGACAATTTTAACAGATTTGTTGTCTAGATGTGAAGAACCACTGAGTGCAGAGGATTGCAAACTCTCTGAAAGAAGGCCTGCCTATTTACTGCGGAGTAAACATTTGCAGGATGGTGTGGATAGATTGATCTTTATGTCTGTTTTCTCACGTAAACAGAAAACGTCATGTAAAGGATGTATCCAGTATAACATTGTCTTTCCACAGCATTTAAATATTAAACAGAATCTGCCAGTTAGTGACTCTAATCTTGACCCTTTTGTTTTGACTCTCCACCTCTAATGGAGTTTTTCCTTTTTCTTTGTAGACTCCAGAACCAGTGGAGAATTGCACAAGTGAAGGAGAGCTTGATGAAGATCAGGGTTCTTCTGTCCCGAGCACTCTGGAGCTGGAGATACGTGGATCAGGCCAGGAAACTGATGAAGACTATTTTGAGACACAGTCACATCAGAGCGAATCACTGTCAGACATCAAGACTGATCCTTATGAAAGTGCATCAGACTCCGAGTCCGTTGCCAGTGATGCCACTAGAGAAACCAACTTGAATTCATCCCACCGTTCTTCAGAAATAGAAGAACCTGGGCACAAGTGTTGTGAAACAAAAGGAGGAATAGCTTCCTCCAATCCCGAGCACACAAAACAAACTGATTGTATGCAAAAAGAAGCAGCAGAACTGATATCAGTTTTACCTGTGTCAACAAGAGAAGGCGAATTGGAAGTATCAACATCAGAATCAAAAACAAAAGAGAACAATGGAGAGGAAAAATGGTTACCACACAGTGTTAATTGTACTGGGGCAAAAACTAGTAAAGAGGTCTTTTTATCACAGACTGAAGCCAGGGTGACTACAGAGACAATGTCTGTGGATAGAGATCCACACTTTGGTATCTGTTCAAAAAATCTAGCTGAAGGTGCTATTAGTAAAGACAACACAAACGTGGACACAAAAAAGTGTACTAGTTTTAGAACCAACTCTGAAAGCTCTCTGAGTTTCCTTGAAGCCTGGCATCCTTCTCACCACACACAAGTTGTTTCAAGATACAGCTTGCCTAATATTCATTTAGAATCAAAGAAAACATGGAAGAGAAACTGCAAATCACCCAGTGTTAGAAGTAAACAAGATCATACACCTAACATGACATGCAACAGGAAAAACATTGCTGAGTCTGACTGTTATAAACCTGCTGATGTGCACTTATGTGGCAGAAGGGTGAAGGGTGAAGGTTTCCCATGCTTAACAGCTGCATTTCAGATACCAGCCATAAGACCAGGGATCTTACAAATGAAACCATGGCATAGTTCACCTGCAAACATAAGTATTCAAGAGGGCAGGGAACATGACAGTGACTGTATTTGTATCAGGGATAAACTGAGTTGGTCATGCTCTAGGATCCCCTTAGAAGTGTCAGATTTTGGACATATAAGGGAAACTTTAGGAGGGTTTGGTAACTGCCCAAAAGATCCTCTAAAAATGGAGCAAGATAGAAGCATGGAAGGGTTACTTCTCAATATTTCCCAGGGCTCAAATAATAACCACTTGATGCAAGCAGCAAGCTCCTACTGGGCAACTCCCTGTGAGAGTTTGCAGAACAAATCTAAGAACTACGGCCTTATAACAAAAAGAGCAGATACCACGGAATGCGATTCTTTGGCACTATCCAAGCTGCCATATTCCTCAATGGATAGTTACAAACAGGAAGCTTCTTTAGCTCTGGAGTATGCCCCAAGAGGTACAAATGCCAAAACAGTATTAAGAAAATATCAGTGCACATCCGCAAGTGAAGCAGAAATTAAAGGGTTCCCACAGAACATAGGTTCTGGAATTCATATCTGTGATGCTGAACAAAATTTTCTAGATAGATGTATCACAGCAGATAAATACGATATGAGTGGCACCCATGTTTCTATTAGTAAGGAAATGAATGTAGAAAAAGATTGTCTTGGAACTCAAAATATTGGGTCTTTTTTAGGGTCAAGTGGGATGAGAAGCAATTCTGGATTCAGTATAGATCTGGGAATGCTTGATGGATTTCTGGCATCAAGTGGGAAAGACGTAGCAGGAGAACAAGAGGCCATTGTGGTTCCCAACATGAGTGCAACTTATATTGCCTTAACATGTCCTTCTACTCAGGAGAGAAGAGATGTGCATCCCATTGATACAGAAGGGAAGGATTTTTCATGGGGTAATGTTAGTGGAGATTACATTTGCCAGGGAGAAAAATCAGAGAAGCGTTCAGACTTGAAACCTCTGTTGATTACCTCTCTTAGTCAAAAAGGACCTGAATCAAAGACGATGGAAGACATGACCTTCTTCTCTGAATCAACCCCTGCTCTACTTGAACGGGAGAGCTCAGCCTCTCATCTCAGCACCATAACAGATGCTACAGAACCACAGGAAACTCTGAAAGCCCAATCCAATTGTGGAAATTTCAGTTTGACGGGACATATTATATCAGGCGGCGATGGTGAGTTCCTTGTAAGGCTGGCCACCCAAGAAGGTCCAAAAAACAAATACGAGGAAGCAGAGGCAACTGTTCAGGATTTATCTTCAGTGCTGCCCCCTGAAATGAATCCTAAGGGAGCTAGTGTGGAGTACAGTCCCTCTAGGATTAATTTAAGTTTGCGGAATGCTATACCAACCTGGAAAGAAGGGGACTACACAGATGATTTGCCATTACAATCCCATGCTGCAAATGCTGAGATGTTACTCAGAAAACCCTCCCAAATGAAAGATGATTCTGTTTTTAAGATGTTGCAAGTAGCAAACCTATCGTATATATCTAGAGACCACTCAGTGGGGGAAACATCTGTGACCCCAGCTATAGAGGAAGACATTTGTGTGCAGAAGAGGAATACTGTTAGTGACCTCTGCCAGGATGTCATTGTTGGTGATACGAGACTAGAGCATAATATTTACAGTAAGCAAATTCTTGATGAGGAGGAGGACAGAGACCCCTGTGATGTATCACATGGGAAAACAGACATTTTTCTAAACACAGAACAAAACAGGGGCTTTTCTGCAGAAGACACAAAGTGCATTGGCAGAGAAAATGGGTGGAATCTGAACCCAGATACCTGCGACACTTCAGGGAAGGCTGACAGTCAAGACAATAGCACTGTAGGCCTAGATAACATCAGCCTGGGAAGTACAAACAGTGAGGAGAACCTGTTTAATTTCCCTGGTATTAACAGCAGTTTCTATAAGGCAGTGCAAAGAAACAACAAGGCTGGGGCCACAGAGAAGTCTGCCAAGCATTCTAAATTTTTAGCTTTTTCGAAAATGGCGTCTTTCAGGAAAAACAAGCTAATGTCTCCTGAAAATCAGGACAGCATCAGGACCAAGACAGAAAGATTAGATGGGAGTAAAGGGGAGGAGATGGAAGATGGTTTGAAGCCCGTCAGCCTTACGGAGTATTCAGATGATGATGATGTCTTTTATGACAGACCAATTGGACTCTTCAACAGAATTAGCCTGAGAAAAGCATCCACCTCTGGGCGGATCCTCTTGGAAGAAATGGACACTTCTTCTGCACAATCCAGAACAAAATACTCCGAAGGAAAGATTTTAGGTTCTATGGAGAACAATGATGATGAGTTTTCTGAGTGCTCTGAACTCAGAAAATCTTCATCTGAGAATGACTTTAAAAGGAGCAAAAGCACGGAGAATAAAAAATTCAGGAGTCGTCTAGCCATGGCTCACCGATCTTTCTCAAGTTTCTTTGAATCTAAGTCTCTAGAGAAGGAAAATGCTGAGCAGACCCCAAAAGTTTCAATGAAAAATGAAAAGGAAAAAGCCAAGTTTCACCAAACATCTTGGAAAGCCTTTCTGAAAAGCAAGGAGGCGGATGGTGTGAAACGGCCCACTCCAGTGCAGCGAAGTCCTCGTTCAAACCAGAGCCCCAGAAGCTTTGTAAGAACAGCATCCAAGGAAAAGCAGGAATGTCATAATGGACAAGTAGTTATGACATCCAGCACAGCTAATGGCTCTTTGAAAGAAGCTGGATGTTCTGACATCTATGGGACTAGTGACTGTGAACCACTGGACACAAGGAGGAGGAAAAAAGAGCTGTCTCATGAACTGATTATGAATTCTCCAAATAGCCCAGATTGTAATGGGAAAGAGGAGGCAACAAGCAATGATGGAGATACTTCCTTTGAAGAATTCTGGTTGAGGTCTCCAGTTAGCCCAATTGACCTGCAGTCCTCATTTTCTCACTTTACTCCCTCTTGCCCCCACTTGTCCATGTACGAACGAAAAGATATGCCATGCAGGCCTATGAGTCCCAAGCCACAAAGCCCTCGAACCAATTCTCAACGCAAAGGTTTCCATTATCCTGGAAAGTTAAGTTCCACTTCAATGATATCTCTTGGAAACATCTCCATGAACGATGGCAGCTTGGAAGCACCTGAGAAGCCAAAGACACTAAAACCCAGATCTAGCTACCTGCAGTCAGTGCATTCTCTAGATAATGACTATCTGAAAGAAGACAGCGGAATAAGTAGCCAGTCCCAGATCAGCTTAAACACCACTTCTTCTGTTAGTGATATCATCAGAGATGAGGTGAGTTGCTTTGCACTGAACATGATGTGATCCATTCGGGGGGGTCTTTGGTGTAGCGTTGCTTTGATTCATTTGTTAGTTTTTAAAATCCATGACATGAAGGAGTGAGTGCAGTATCTGCAAGGACTGGCTTACAAGAAGCTAAAGCAATAAATATAGGAAATTGGACTAGAAGAGGATAGTTACTTAGAAAGTCACATTTCTTATGTACACAGTCATGACATTGCTTTAGAAAATTATCTTCCAAACAGTCTTTTTTGCTTGTAGATGAGTGGCCAAATTTCATATACATTTCTTGTTTGATTTGAAATGATGATGACTGACACTACTATTGTCTTTCAAAACGTTGCAATGATTTCTCTGCCTGAAAAGCAGAAAAATAAGCTATATTGAGTTAAACTGTTTGTCCCACGTAAGTCAGAACCATTGTAGTTTTTAAAATCCATGACATGAAGGAGTGAGTGCAGTATCTGCAAGGACTGGCTTACAAGAAGCTAAAGCAATAAATATAGGAAATTGGACTAGAAGAGGATAGTTACTTAGAAAGTCACATTTCTTATGTACACAGTCATGACATTGCTTTAGAAAATTATTTTCCAAACAGTCTTTTTTGCTTGTAGATAAGTGGCCAAATTTCATATACATTTCTTGTTTGATTTGAAATGATGATGACTGACACTACTATTGTCTTTCAAAACGTTGCAATGATTTCTCTGCCTGAAAAGCAGAAAAATAAGCTATATTGAGTTAAACTGTTTGTCCCACGTAAGTCAGAACTGATTGGAATGGAGTCTCTGGAATCTCAGAAATGAGCTTTAATGTCACCAGCTACCTGATATACTTTTAAAAACAAGAAACACCAGCGCTTGGACCTGCTTTTTGCATACAAAATATGTTCTGCTCTTGAGCTGAGAAACTTTCCTCAAGGCTCATGTCATTAATCTGAAAACATTCAGTAGTCTCAGAGGATTTGCTGTTCCATTTTGCCAGACTTTTAATTCCACAACAGCTTTATTCTTCCACAGGTCATAAGATGGAACAGTACAAAATTAGAAGTCACAGATGAGCCAAATAGAAGTGTGCAATGTGATTTTGGCTGCAATTCACCAGAATTCCCTAGGCATATATCACAAATCTGCCCACCTCTACAGCCAACTTCACAAAAATGAAACAAAAATCCCTCCCCACAAATTAGTTTGAAAACAGTGGGGTCTTGACTTGAGAACTTAATCCATATTGGAAGGCAGTTCTCAAGTCAAAAAGTCTGTAAGTCAAGCCGTCTGTAAGTCAAGGGTCCACTGTATCGCCCACCCCACCCCTCAGGGAATGATTACTACAAGAACACACTATACTTTGGTTGCTGGGCTTATAGTAGCATTTTTTATACCTCTACCAGAGTTAACCAAGGCTGATAAGGAGAGGACATTTTGGAAATTGCTCATTCATAAAGTCAGATTGCAGTGGCCATAAGGGCTGAGGAATTTTGGAGGCTGTAGTCTAAGAAAAAACACTTCTCCATGCTCTGTTTCAGAGTATATGAGTATGTTTAGGGTAATTGTCAAGAGCAGTAGATATCAAACCTAGTCCCCAGATTTATTAGACTCCAACTCTTAGAATCCCTAACCTTTGATCATATAGGCTGGGACATCTGGGAGCTGAACTATTTTCACCTATTATATATTTCCAAAACTGGTTCTAAATTTAAAAAGATCTATAGTTAAATGCCATGTGGTACTTTTAGGTTGGTGGGTTTATCCGTATTGTGAGTGTAGGTTGCCATTTAAAAAGTACCATATGACAGGAGGGAGTGATACTATATGAAGGTTACCATAACTGTTGTGTTACACATCCTAGTGTCTGAGGAGGTGCCAGGCATCAGCTGGTGCTGCCAAGATCTGGGTCCTGGCAGCTGCTCAATGGTGCTGATGTCCTTTTTTTGTTTGTTTTTACCTGTTGCTTATAAAATAGGAGAATATCCAGCCAAATCAAATATCATCAGAAAAAAGACTAGGTGACAAATGTGGCCTCCCCTGCAGAAAGAGATCTACTCAGATGCCACTGTCTCCACACTCATTCTCAAACATAGAAAACAAAGCCTGGATGCTCCCCTTCCATGTTCAAGAGGGGAAAGCAGAACAACAAACTCAGTGGAAGAGACCTGGACTCTTATATAAGCGTTTCAGCTTTGATGACGAACAGATGGAGAAGAATCGAAAAAGGAAGCTTGCAAAAGAGACCCAGTCAGACAGAGAGACTGAAGCAAGTAACTTGCCAGAGGATCAGTTTAAAGTAAGAGCTGAAGATCATGTCATCTCTCTCTGGCTGCCTGTCTCTACTGTAGTTGTCTCTTTCCAGGCTGTGCCTTTAACCAGCTCTGCTGCTTTCCTTGTATCTAACCTTGCATGTCAGGCTTGTATGCATTGAGATTCAATGACCAGCACATCTTCAAAGAGGATTGAGAGACTGAATCAACAAGATTGAAAGATGGGCCTTTTCTAGTGCATCTTTTCTTGTATGCTTTGGACACTGGCAATGGGCTGGGTGGGTTCATAAATCACTCCTCCAGTCTGGCATTCTCCAGATATGCTGCCATGTTGGCTGCAGATGATGGAGCCTGGAGCCATAACATTATTTCCCTCAGGTTGCCCCAGACATATCAAACTTGGCACCTTCTTTCTTTCCTTTTGAGATCCTTCATGTCAAGCCTGCTTCCAATGCATACAAAGTTTTTTTGTGTTCTTTATTAATAATACTTACTCTCCTCCTTTAAAACTTAACCTCACTTCTTTGTAACCATAAAGGGTGCACTTATGACAACAGCACTGAGACTGTGAGTGGAAGACAGAAACTTTTTTTAATGGACATTTCTCTCTCTCTCCTTCCAATGGTTTTGTTTTGTTCTGAACTAAGCATCTCATTAATTCAGTCTCTCTTTCTCTTTCTGTAGGTTAAAATGAGACCATCTAGTACTTCATCCATGTCCTTTGGTGCCCTTCCCCTCAAGTTGCATCTCTACTCCCAGAGCACACCAACAGGATTAGACTGTGTGGGTTTGAGAAGACGCATTGCCTTTCCTGGTATGAGCTCCATTACACACGTTTATTTTGATTAATTTCCCTGTGCCAGTTCCATCCATCCTATTGATGCTGAGTACAGCTTTACCTATTGAGCTTTCACACGGTGCTCTTTATCTTTGAATTTGTATTACTATTAATGTTTCTTGGCAGTGGAAATTGTGATTCGTGAAGTGAAAGTGACTCAGTCATGTATGATGGTTCCCTTCTATGCTAGAGATAAAGGGCAATGAGAGATCTCCGTGCCCCCTTTGTGGTGGCATGATTAACCTGTCTCTCTTTGATAACTTTCCCAGAAAAGTGAAATTCATGATTTTGAAGTTTTGCCATTTCAAAATGATGGAGAACCATAGGTGCCAGAAAACTTCTGAATAACTGACTTGCATTGACATGCCTTGTTTCCCTGGAGATTTTTTGTGGATTTTTACTCTTTCCAGAGGGCTTCATGTTTTAGAGAAGTTTGTGGAACTGACTTGAAGTGGACGTTACAGAGCATGTCCTCTTGCTCTAGCTGCTTTTCCTAGTTGTGCTTTCTTTGATCTGGTGTTTTGGATAACGGAAACAGCCTGCAGCCACTTGGTGGTCCTATCCTAGTGCCCATATTTTCACAGGGGGTTATACAGCGTGAAGTGACACAAAATATGATACTAATGGAAAGAAAGTTCACATTTTGATGACAACCATTTCAAATCTAGGAGCTCTTGTGTGGATCCTTTTGTGGCAGATCAGACTGGCTGTTTAGCATTGTGGCCCATATCAACTTAATTTGTTTTTGCTAATCAGACTTCTCCAGATGGCGAGAAGATCCAGAGGCTCAGCCCTTATCCTTTGCAATTGCCCTGCCCTGTTTCTGGTGATGAAACATATTAAAACCCAAAATGCAAGAACATTGATTACCTAATGCTGAAGTAGGTGCTTGTTAAATTAATACTGTGTGCTCCCAAGTTGATTCTGTTGATTCAGTAACCTTGCCAACATTTCCAATATATAAATTACTTAGAAGTGGTTTATGGTTCCCTTCTTCCGGAGGTGCTCTGGGACTTGCTCAAGGCTATAAAGGTGAACAGCTTGGAGCTGCTCCTGGATTCATCTCTCAGTCTGGATGCCCAGGTTGGGTGATGCCCAGGTTGGCTGCCTGAGTGGTGTTTTTAAATGAACTGTTGTGCTTTACTGCTTTGAATGTGTTTGGTGTTGCTCCTGTTTTTAGTATAGTATTTATCTGATCCTTTCCAGTGTTTGTATATTCACTGTTATTAGCTTTAATGTTGTCTTTTAAAGATGCAAACTACTTTTGGTCCTTTTCAAGGAGAAAGATGCATTAAGAATGTTTCAAATAAATAATAAATACACAGATTAGCCGTTCTGCAGGGAAGAATATTTGGGAATCAATTCCTGAGGAGATTTAATAAAGAAGAAAGGAATTCATATGTTAATTCCCTAGCACAGAGGTATTTTTAAAAATCTAGTTCTCAGTGGTATACAATGTTACACATTTGCTATATGTAATTACTGCAATTGGTGCATTTCTAAAGTAGGATCACTTCGTCAGTGATACTGCTGACAATTTATCACCCATCCATTTCTCCTCAATATTATTCAAAACCTCTTAAGAACAATGGTTTCTGCAGTTGCTGGACTCATCTTGTGCCTTCGCTCCAGGTATAGAAGAAAACTGGTTACAACCATCCCAGCTTCTTATTTTGTTTCAGTCAGGAGATTGGAGTGTTACTTTTCAGAATAAATTTGTTGCCGTGACTTGTTGCAATGTTTAAAAAGTAACAGTTTGCATTAATACCTCCCTTTTTATTGCTTCTTTTTGTAACTGTTTAAAAACTTCAGGATTGATGAAAGTCTGGAATAAAACTTCCACTCAAAGTGCCTCTAAAAACTTTCAAAAGTAGCTATAAAATGTTACTTGATATAACCTCCCTGTAAGAACAACTTAGTGTCATTCCTACTTGTTATGAGTTTGTGTGGTTTTGGGGGCTTTTTTTGTTATACCTTATGAAAGAAGGAAACACATTACAAACAATTCTTTTACTTGAAGCATCTTATTCCCAAAGTCTTGTCTGAAGCTATTTAGATAGATTTGGATTATTTTAATAGAATAGAATAACAAGTTATATGGCATTTGACCAATAGGTGGTGCCAAAGGTTTTAGAAAGTTTTAGATGTTTTCCTTCAGAAGCAAGTTAACTCTGAGTAGGCCAAATCATGTCCATGTGCACTAGCTGTTCATTTTGCCCACTAAAATCTTTTTGCATGCACCTGTATTTCCAGGAATGTGAGTTGCTTCCCTGTCTGTTTCTCAGATTAATACATAAATTAAAGACAGGCCCAATGCCATTAGTCCCACACAGGGCTTTCTAATTTTCGACACTATCCTGAAATGGATCTCTGGACCTGTCATTCCTCTACCTTGGAAAGAAATTGTTTAGTCCATTACAAAATACACATGTACATATACACTTATACAGGCTAGGAATATACGTGTGTGTGTGCGTCCGTGTGTATCTGTCTTTCTGTGTATGTGTTTTTGTGTGCATGCATATTAGTTATTATTGCTACCTATAAATATATGTTATGTATTACCAGTGAACAACATCCAAAGCTTCCTTGTCTGTGGTTTAGTTTTTAATGTCAAATATAGTCAATGATAGAAAGATACACAATGTATTGAAATCAGATAGAAATAAATCAAATTGTTGAATGCTGTGATTCTAGCTGGAACCTTGGGGCCTAAATCCAGTTGCTAGTCATGACTAGACTAGACACAGAGAATCAATGGAGATTATATAAATGGGATGAACTTACCAATCAGCATTTGATTTAATGGATCTTCTCTGGTTTGACCTAGCAATTGGCTGCAGACCATGAAATTCTGCCCAGGTTAAAAGATGTTGGGAGAAAATGCAAAAGCTTATATTAAGAATGATACATAATGAAGACACAAGTAGTACATAATGCAGCTGTACAGAATGACAGATTCTTGAGATGCATACTTGTGTGTGTGCTTCTTTTAAGCAGAGGGAGGAAATAGCACTCCCATTCCCAATGCTAAACTTCAAAATGTTATTGGCACAGGCAGTTTGTCAGCTCTCCCTCCCTTACAATTCCATAAGTTTGTCCTTCAGGGCATGCCTGATTTTATCTCTATCCTTGCATTCTTGGTTAGGCCTCCAGTTGAGTATTGTGTTTGGTCTTGGCAGATACATTTTTTAAAAGGACACAGACTTAGCTGGAAGGGAACTGAGGGAGAGTGCCAAAGAATTACTGCACACATACGCAAAGGCAAGCTCAGTGGGATTTATTTCTGAGTAAATATACAAAGGCTATACATTTTTTAAAGACAAACTATGTAAGAAAATGAGGGAAAGCATCACGTGTTGTAATGGTCACCTGGAAGATGGTGCTGCGGAAGCTCTTTAGAGACATCCACAAGATGAGGAAGGATGTACAAAACAGACACAACAGGGATAAACAGCAAGATGGAGTTCTCCTGTTCCTGGAGTTCTCCATGTGGGTGAGAATAGTATCTAAACAACTTGTATAATACAAGATCTGAAAACTAGATGGAATAGATCTAAAAATGGCAATATTATAAAATCACTCTCAAGTGATGAAAATTATAAATACCTTGGAATACTAGAAGTAGACAACATCATGCACAAAAAGTTAAAGAACTGACAGAAAGAGAATATATCAAAAGACCACGGAAAATCTTAAAATCAAAATTAAATGGGAGAAATACAATCAAAGCCATAAACACATGGGCTATAGTAATTGGACACCCAGCTGGAATAATAGATTGGACTCAAAACGAACTAGAAGAATTGGATTGAAAAACACGGAAACTAATGAACATTCATCACAAACTACATCCAAAAAGCGATGTGGACAGATTATATTTACCATGAAAAACTAGAGGGGATGGATTACTGAAAATACAGGAGGTAGTAGAGGAAGGAAAAAGAATCCTAAATGATTATATCAGTACAAACAGAATTAAAATTACTGAAAGCAGTGAAAATGGAGAATATTTTAAAAACAACAGAAACAAAGGCTCAATATAAGAAACAACAATTTGAAAAGAAATTAAACAGCTGGAAAAATAAACCACTACATGGACAACACCTGAGAAATATTGATGGAAAGCATGATCATAATTCAACATGGGCATGGCTAAAACTGGGGACCCTTAAGAAAGAAACTCAAGGCTTGATTTTTGCTGCACAAGAACAAGCACTCCAAACCAATGTGATGAAAGCTAAGACCCAAGGAGTTAGTGATAACAGCAAGAAAAAGATGGAACTGTGTCACACCTCATCTGCAAATGTCCAAAGATTGCAAAAATGGATTACAAAGTTAGACATGATAGAGTGGCAGTTTGTGCACTGGTAATTATGCAAAAAAATATAACTTGCAGGCCTCCAAAAACCCATGGTAACATCAGGTAGAGAAGATGTCAGAAAATGAGGAAGTCAAGCTCTTGTGGGATTTCCGGATCCAAACGGATAGACACCTTGAATATAACACACCAGACATAATAGTAATAGAACAAAGAAATGTCCAGATCATTGACATTGCAATTCTAGGGGATGCCGGAGTTGAAAATAAAGAATTGGAAAAACTAACAAAGTACAGAGACCTGGCAATCGAAACATCTCACTTCTGGAAGAAACACACATCAGTTGTCTCGATAGTCATTGGGGCTTTGGGAACATTATCAAGAAATTTCACGCAGTACTATAAGCAGTTGCAGATGTCAGAAATCACACCATCAGAGCTACGAAATATGGCAATATTAGGAAGAGCATACATACTGCACTGATATTTAACAGATACTTTGGTTTTTGGTTTAAAATTGTATCTGTTATGTAGTACCAGACAACGTTTTTATAATTTTAACTGTGCCTTGTGTTTTTGCATCATCATCATCATCATCATCATCATCATCATCATCATCATCATCATCATCATCATCATCATCATCATCATCAAACTCTTCCAAGCTCTGATCTAAATTAGCCTTTAGAAAACTCAGTGAAAGTTAAATAAGTCATAGTTTTCAACTGTCTTAAAAGTAGTACTGAGAGAATAAGATCATTTCAGTGACAGGGTTGGTGAAGCCTTGTATAAGTCAGTATGATTGCTAAGTTATAAAGATCTGCTGGAACAGCATCTTGGGAACTGGCAGATTTTATCCAGTAACACATTGTTGGCCCACAGAAAG